TTCTGTTAGCTAAAAGCATTTAGTTTTCGACCAGCACTTTTAATATGAACTTGATTAGCAAAATCGAGCTCTTAGTTTATATAAACTTTTGTCATCTATAGAACCTCTTTAGTAAATTTAAGGTCTTAAAACGTCTACTTTTAATTTTTACCCTATTTTGTTTATGGTATACACTTCTTTTAGAAATAATCTCCAAGCCCCCTATTCAATCATATTGTTAATCTCTAGGTTCACCCAAAAGCTTAGACTTAGGTAGTTGGTAGAAGTATACTATTATACATTTTAATTTGTTCTGATCTCTGTTCTTTCATGATACTCACGGGATGAGCTGATAGAATTTCTAGCCATAATGTTCATGCTCAGCAAGAATTTCTAATCAAATCAGACATGTGCACTTCCCTTTGAGTTTAGGCGAGCCCCGCTTGAGTTCTCGTAATAACTAAGAAAGGTAAGAGAGCACTGAAGCAAGCGATATTTCATAATCAAACGGAGAGCATTTAAGGAATCTATTTTAAGAATGTCGGCAGTCGACTGGTGGATTAGGCCCTCACAACTGCAATTCCCCGATTGAATATGCTTTTGTCCTGAAAATTAAAGCTTCTCTACCCCCGCCCTATGAACTAGAATTTTGGCCTCACATATTCTGGCAGCACACATTACAAAAGTCTAACCACCGAGGCGATGCTTATAAATGGGCATATTGCCACTTTGCCCATACAGTTAAAGCGGAATTTAGCTAAAAGCAGACATAGCATTCAAGATAAGTCATTTGGCCCTAAGCTTATGTGCATGAGTTTAATATACGCGGTTTTGCCTGCTCTGCCTACAAAATGGTAATTTATAGACAACCATGTGCCTCTATTTATACTTTTCGGCATTTGATATTAAGAGCTAAAAATATAGTGTCTTCTGAAATACAGCCGTTTGAGTAGCGTGTCAATATTGAGAGTTGAGCCACTTTTTGCGTTCTTCTTTCAGAAACCCATTGCTAACTACACACCGAGGCCTGTGCCACCCATTGAGTATGGCATACCGAGACCACCGGAGGACTGGAATGAAGTGGATAACCCCATTGAAGCACTTGCTAAGCGCGAAGGCAAGATTCCGATGGAAAATGATTGGGCACCTCAGGAATTCTATCCTGACCCGGATCCCGAAACCGGTGCTCCTCGAAATCCGGCCGGCCGGACTGGCATCATGGGCCGAGGTGTTTTGCCATGCTGGGGAGCTAATTCCGCTATCATAGTGGCCATCACAACATGGCAATATGCGGATGACGGCAAGATCGCTATTTTTAAAGGTCGCCGAGTCATCGAGAGTCTCGTCTACAGTCTGAAGAGCGGCCAGCTCCAGTTGCCTATGGTACTAAAAAAGGGTGGACGCTTAGTTATCGTTTACCTACTTGAAAGTAATAGTAACGATAGTAATATTTGTAATGGCAATGCAATTTATGTTGATAATTCAATAATTTTAAGTAGACTTTATCATTTTAATATGAAAAACCCAAATCGTTCGTTTAAGTATTTAGCTCTTTGGTTTAGACAAATGACGAACTTTTGTGAAGCGATCTTCCCGAGATTTTCGCTAGGGAGGAATCACCTTAAAAGTTAACTGCATAGCTATGATACGGTACATCTGCATGGTCTTGAAAAATGTAGCTTAGCAAGCCATTTCTATGAGACGCGCTCTCCATTTTTATAGGCCGAATTATAGATTTTTTCAGGAAAAGGTAAGGACGAAATGATATTTCCATGTTCTACTTCTATTAGCATACATTTGTAAACGAAAATATATGTATTTTTTACAACTGACAAGGTATCAGAAGTTGGAATTCTCGTGAAACAGGTTGCTTTCTAGAAGTTGTTTGACCTTGTTTTCGCAACTTGGTCATATTGGTAGGAAGACTTAGAGGAACGCACCT